ACATTTGAAGCTTTGTTAGCGTAAAGCAGAGGAATTTCTTGGAAGTAGAACGTTGGCAGGGCTTCAGAAAAGTGTGAAGTAACTGTGAATGGACTATAGTATAATGACTGTCACACACGTTCATCTACATAACCAATATATATATAATATATAATTTTTTCCATATATAGTGAACTAGCGTCTAAGGTATTTACTATTGTTTGTGTTTAATTATATATATTATTTTTTCCATATATTATAGTGAACTATCTTCTAAGGTATTTAAATATTGCTTTTGTTTGATTTTATATATATCCAGTAATACGTAATACTTCTTCATTGCGATCTTTTGTATTATTTTCTAATAATACGTTAAAGTTTAAGGCCAGGGCAAAAATTCTGAAGAAATTGAACTTCAAGTTACGAAGCTGTTATAGACTTTTCGTCAATAAACGAGGAACTTCACACTTCGATTTTTCATGTAATAAAAGTTTTAGCTCCTTAACGTTCTGAAATACTTTCACAGCAAAACTCACCTTTCTTCCTTAATGTTCTGAAGTACTCCGGCGAAAAAGCTCACGTCAGAACTGCGAAGAAAAATTTGAGGGGGGAAATTCTAAGATACACCCTGTTATGTCTGAAATATATAAATTTTCTACATTCTGCTATTAATGGCAAATAAAAATAATCTACAATCCCAAAAGTTTCTATAAAAGATTTTTTTAAATGTTTTATTTCCTTATTAAAGAAATAAATAACTGCATACATATTTTAGAGTTCTGTTTTTATTTGTTTAACTTTTGTTTATTATCAACCCTATACTGATGCCAACAAGCTGATTAATAAATTACTTTCTTCATTTTTTAATTTATGAAGTACACCTCTTAAATTATTTTAATTGTGCACTAAAACCGATTTGTTGAGTTAATATAATGATTAAATAATAATGTCGTTACTTCTGCACATACGCGATACGTGTAGTATAGGCCTATATGGGTAAATCCGTAAATTCATAAAAATTTCAAAAGAAAAAAGTAGGCGAATACTCAAGAAATTATGACATAGCGTATCTCTGTACGTATTTAATTTGTTAGATTTTTCTTTTGTTATTTTCTTACGATAGTTCATTAGATTGAATTTAATCTGGTATTTCCGGTATAACTCTGTGTTAGTTTCGTAAGGTCACCCTAAAAGTGGGATTGATTTTTGTTTATTATTTTAAAATTTAAAATATTAAATACAGCCTGATATTTTTTAATGGTGAAAATAATAAATTAAATAACAACTGTATAGGGGAAGACTTGCCCCTTCATATAAATACAGTATGAATAATATTGGCTTACAAACAGTTTTAGAGAGACAAAGAATATAAAGCAGATACATTTGTTTTACTGATTTAAAAAAAAACATTTTTATACCGGCTGTCCAAGGTGTTAGTAAGTCGGTCACTCCGCACGGTGATCTAGCCTCGATTCCCACCGGATTAGCGTAGGTTTTAGCACGTAGGAGACATGGCGGGCGTTGCCTGTGATCTGCGTGCTTTCTCGTTTCACTTCCGTTTCCTCTGTCCATGCATTTCGTCAGTGTTACATTTTAAGATCTTTCGCAACGCCATCCTTCAGCTAGGGAGAATGTTTGCAGGCCACAGCTCTAAAATGCCGTCTCTAGGAGGTGTATATTGTCTCTGCACCCAGGTGCGACACACGCGTAATTTATTTCTCTACTAGAAAAACAAAATATATTTTTGAAGTTCTATGGCCATTGTGTGGTGAAACCATTGCCGTTAAACTTAAATAATAACGTCAGTCGCCGGTATTGACTCTGTAAGCCCATTTCAATCAGACAATTCAATTAAAGAATAAAATACGGCAATATGCTATTCCATTTCAAGATTTCACACTGCAACCCTTAAACCCACGACCAGTAGAGTTGCAATTACCTTGCGTGGAATTCCTACAATCGAGATCCATGGCTCATTCACCAGTCATCCCAGGTTTCAATGCTATCTGACAAAGTACAATAATATGAGGCCCGTGTCAGAAAAGTTATTTTATCCAACAGTCACTATTATCGGCATGAAGATTTATTCAAATATAAAAACTTTTAATTACACCACATTTGGGTTTGTCTATCTGTTGACAGTGTCACATGTAAAAGCTAAAATATAAGAACAAACATTACGTAGAGAGTCGAAAAAAATTTTTTAATGAAATGTATTTAGCAATTACTGACAAATAAACAATTTTTCTTTGTAGCAATTTTGTGGGTAAATTGGTGGGAAGGGCCTGTGTGCTTCATAGCGGAGAGAAATTTTATCTTACAAACGTTAAACCATTATAAAATTGAAATCACTTTATGGAGAAGTCAAGTATCTGCATGAAAGCTGTTACCAAATCACTATTCTAATTCTGGTGATATGAAAACTAATAAATATTGTAGTATTTTGTCCCGTTTAAACCAATTTTTAATTTGTTTCTCATTTATAAACATTGAGTTTGAGACTTTTTTCACATTTATTAACATCACTTGTATATTTCATGTATCATAGGAGAGAGTATCGTTGAAATTACGCTAGAATACATTTTTTATCATCAGTTAATGAGGGCATGCTGCCAAGAATATTATGAAATTAATGAAACCTGTCACTTTAGCAGTTGCGATAGATATATAATAAATGTTATAATATGAATAACGTTTATTATTTAATACATTTTCTAATTCCCTTGTAAATTTGGTAATTTTATACTTACAGTGTAGAGATCGTATTTGTAAACATTGTGTTACTTTTCATGTGGACGCGATGACATACGAAGAGTCAGAAATTAGGATCATTATTGCACCAGAGAACAGTGTTCTGCATATCCTGTGTGATAATCCATAGTCAGTCGGTGTAACAACTTTCTCGCATCATTTAGAGCATTTACGAGGACAAATAGTGTAGTTTAAGTAGGAAATTTGAGAGACTAAAAAATATAGATTTTCTCATGAAGGTGTATTTAAATAAATATGAAACCACCCTATTCAAGGTGCATTTAAATCAAATGTGAGTAATTTGGAAACAATTTGATTCACAGTGTCAAAAATTATAGACTACTCAAAGTAACTGAATGCGTTTCCAAGACCTCAAGAAACAATTTTACATTAGTTTGGTTTAGAAAATTGTTAATTGTTTTAATTTGTAGTGGTATATTTTACTTTAAGTAAGCGTTTGAAGTGTTTGAAAAGTGTGCACGTGAGATAACAGTAATGTCCGTTAGAAATGTTTTCAAAATTTTCTGAAAACTGTTATTATATAAGTCTCTCATTATGTACTCATTTTAGTTGGCGTTTTAATAGGTATACTTTGAGGCTGTTCTCATAGATCGGGAACGATTCCTGAAAGACCGCATGTATTAAAAATAAACACCAATATAAGATCCAAAATACACGAAAAGTACATAAAATAAAAACTGAAAATATAACACTAATTTAGGATCCAGTAAAACAAAAGTATAGAATCAAAATGCTTCAAGAGTGTATTAAAATATAACTGGGAATATTACCTCGAAAGGCACAAGAATTTTATTCCTGTTTTTATGTAAACTTTATATAACAAAGTCGGTAACAATTTCCACAAGTCATAAATGTTCTTATAAAATAATAATATATTATATAAAGGAATTTATCTAGCACTGTAGCCTGGTGGCAGGACTTAGTTTTGTGTACGTTTAAGCAAGTTGTTACGCAAATTCTTTAGAACTTAACTGGGCACTAGTTAGGTTCATCTTGAATGCTGTATCTATGATTTCGAATAATTAGTTTCCTTTTAAATAACATATTTTTAAGTTAATTTTCAGGTTTACGAGTACATCTGTAAGTCATTATGTTTTGTACAATTTAAAAAAATATATATTTTCCAGAATAAAAATTGGAAACAATTTACGAGATATACAATTTCTACTTGTTATGTCAATATTTGAATTTTACTCTGAAATATGTGCATTAATATTTAACAAAAGACGATTTTATGGTTTCGTAAAAATTTGTGTGAAAATCACTTTTTGTCGGAGTATAGTGTTTTAGTTATATAACTTTGAAATCGCTAGGAATTTCAAACTGTCAGAAGCTCACTATATACTACACACAGGCGGTAAATGCATTAAGTTATATAAAAAATAAGGGTAAATACATCCTAAATATGCTGTCAATCATGTTAGCTAACAATAAAGTTCAAAATAGTTAGTTAAAATTTAATAAAATATTAATTTGGATGCGAGCAACACTAAAGCACAAAAAAATAAAAATAACATAAAACTTCCGAATAAGCCTGTTTACGAACTGATTTGATAGATATTATAGGAGTCATTGTTAAGAAGAACGGCGCTTATTTTTCACTTGGAAATATTCCTATAGACATCCGCAGTTATGCCAACGCTGATCAATCTGTAAACAAACAAAATTTAAGTTGCATTACATAGCACACAGAAAGTTTTATAGATAAATACGCTTCTGGCATCACATACTCTGCCGACGCAAATGATTGCGTCTTGGTTAATACCAAAACATATACAACTGCGAGTTACAAATTAACATAACGTTATAACATCTGGCCAAATTACGAATGATATTAGATAATCTTAATACGACTGCTAGTTTGGAAACAATAGACTATTTTGAAGTGATCTATCTGTATTTGTTCAAAAAAAATCACCGGTACGTAATTTATAAAACACTAGTTTTTCATTATTGGGTTTTAATATTAAAGCGAGGGTGCACACAAAAATAAGTTTTTACCCGGGTGGAACTTCATATTGTTGCATATTGTCACCTTTATTAATTCTGGTGGTTTCTTGTTACCGACGTAGTGAACTTGTGTCATAGCAGTAACATCATATGAGTGTTTAGATAATGTAAAGAAAGAAGCGTCACTCTTATTACTGTTACAGAATGCAGGCCTCTTACAAATATCATTAATAACGAGATATATGACATCACAGCCGAATATGAACTGCTCACATGATTTCACCTATCTGATCCTCGGGGCATCTATGGTAAAGCGGTAGTGGGTCTGATTTGCGCTTGGGAGATCAAGGGTTCAAATCCTGATGGACGCAGTTTCCTCCTAGTGGTATTTCAACTACATTCCAGGAAAATGTATGTGCATCTCCTTATTATATGGCTCTCCAGTACTTTCTAATTAAGTGCATTAAACACTCGCCTGGCCACTACTCGTGTATCATGTTTATCTTTAATTTATGCCAAACTAGCGACCCGCACTGGCCTCGCTTGGGCGCGATTTAGAAATATATAGTTGTTAAGGTTTACAGCAAGTTTATACACTAAATGCTTAATGTAACTAACATAGGATTAAAACTGCGTTGTTCAAAAAGTCTTCGTAAGTGGACCTCTATTTGTGATCAAATTATAACAGACAAAAATGGTTACTGTGGATCATCCTTAAAAAATAAACATAATATGTAAACAACATATAATGCTAAGGCGGACTTTTTTTTAGACCTTTTTGAGATTACAATTCTGTATTACATTAATTGGTTGTATCTCTAATGGTTTAGTCAGCGTAAGTCATGTAAGCGCTCTAAAAGAGAGACTTCATTAAAAAATCGTCGACATTTATCGACTGCCCTTACATTAAATATTAATGTATTATGTAACTAAACCTTCCTCTATAAATGATCTAAATGAAGGCGAGAAGGGCATTAAAACCCATCAAGTAGTTTAGAAGCCTTAGCCGAATACACAGACGCACTCGGTCAGGCGACTTTGTTTTATAATATGCATAGAGGATAGATGAGAAATAGAGTATAGTATGTTCTGGATTGTTAAACTGTGTTTTGTTATTAATTAAATTTGTACTGCACTGATGCACTCTGCAACTCCTTTAGAATATGCGTGCTATCTTGTGCGCAACGTCGGCCAAACACGTAATGAAACGCCTACGTGATCAGGTTGCACGTAATTATCATGTTATTTCCGCGCTACCAAGCTTACTGATTACTATAGAGCCGGAAATTTTGCGGGCGTATTTGACTGCTAGATAAGGTTTGATAAACGCTTTTCACGATAAAGTGAGCACTTTTGACATCAACCTTAAGTCACTGCCCCTACCTGCACGTATTTTAACGGGGCGCAACGAGTGACATGTGTACAGTAAAGTTGGCAACGATGGAGGGGGAAGAAGTTCCACGTATTAACGTCGAACAAAAAGTGTTTTGTAATAAATTAAATTATTTATCTGGTTTTCTGTATTTTTTAATACCTCGAAGTGAAAAAAATGAGCAGATTTGTGCAGTATTTACTTTTCTAATAATTTCACAGTTTTACTCGACCGACGCATGAATTAAGTGATGAGGCCCATGGCAATGTTAATTTTATACAAGGCGGAAGAACATACAACATGTATACAAGCAGATCTTAAGCAGGGCTTTCAAAAGTGCTCATTTTACCGTGAACAGCCTACAGTTGTGTGCACTAATTAAACACTGTGACTCTTTGGTGATAAGCTTATCACTTTCACGCTGGTGTTTACTCGCATCAGTGTGTAAATATAGGTGATGGCTGGGAACGTAATTCGCCACTTCGCATTTTATCTCCATAGATTAGTATTATCCAAATTTCCGTTTATCCATATATGACGTTCGGTACCTGATATTCCGGATGCTGTAAGTTCGAATCATGGTCAGTTTCTCTGTATAGAAGGAAATATAGCAATGTTTTATCTTGTGAGTAGCGCTCGTGAACTTAACAAAGTTACTTAATTATGTAAGATACTCGTTGTCGTCCTATTTTTTTTTTTTTTTAATTTTCCTTCGGTGTTATCATTTATGATCAATAAATTCAAAAATAAGCATTTGAGTATAATTTTAAATAATTTAAGACTGAAATAAGGATGCTACATTTTCTTGCTGGAATACTGGCTTGACAAAATATTGTTGCACTTGTAGCTTCCATTTTACGTTCTGAATTCAGGTACTAAATAGGATTAAAGCAGCTTTCTGTCCGAAGCTTCGCCCATACTACATCAAGCAGCTAGGGCATCTTTGTCCATCACATTGGTGGTTATACCCTTAGGTGCTAGGATTATCAAGTTGCTGAGTGAGCTTACCCTGGGGCAGGCCGCTTAGAGCTGGCCATGTGAAAAGTAGTTCTGCCTCAATTATATTCCCGCCACATTTAGCCACTGCCACTGGACATCCCTTGCAATAATAGCGAAATAGAATTTGAGGGGAATTGCAGTCTCTTGAATTCGTAGGGTATTCGGATGTAAAGGCTGTTCACGATAAAGTGAGCACTTTTGAAATTAACCTTCGAAAAAATTCACTACTCCTAACTTTATATATTTAACGGGTGCATTGAGTGACATGCGCCCAGTAAAGTTGGTAACAATGGATTGAAAGTAGTTACATGATCTTAAAATTTAATAAAAAGTGTTAGGTAACCATTTGTGAGAATATTATTATTCCTTTCGCTCTCTGTTATTTTATGCTTTGCAGTATTAAAATGACCAAATTTGTAAAACATTCTCGTTATCCGATAATTTCACAGTTTCGCGTCGCCGAGCATGAATAAAGTTGTGAGGTTAATGACAATGTTAAATTTATATAAGGCGGAAAAATACACAACGTGCATACAAGTAGATGTTAAACAGAGCTTTCAAACGTGCTCATTTGATCGTCAACAGTCTATAATGAGTGGTATACGCGTTATGAAAACTATGTAAACGTATTTACCATGCGTGTCCAGTGAAGGCTGCATCATTTTGCCAAGCCATCGCTTGGAACCTAGCGTTTTGGCGGTAACTTAAATGGAACCACAACCTTTGCGGTGATAGGCCAGGAAGGTAGATGATGTTGATAAACTTTTCAGATTTATGGACTGCATCATCAAATTTTATCACCGTGTCCACAGATACGTACTCTATTTCTACTTCCTCTAACAAATTAGGCAAACTATGGTAATTATTTATTATATTGTTGTATTATTAACATTGCTAAATTCTCATAAAATCTCCTTCCATGGCAGTTTGCTTAACTAACAGTCGTTACACTTCAAAACTACAAAATCATTATTTTTATAAATTAATTTTTACAACCTAAGAATTTCTAGGTGTAATGTTACCAGAATATTATAAAGTTACATTAATTATTATTGTAGTAAAAAAACCCTCAGCTTTGCTGGAAAACCAAATACAAACAAAAGGCCTCACCATCGTTATAACATGTGATTTTGATAGTTCTGTAGGAGATTCGCAAGTTTATATAGTTCTGAGAGGTATATTTGTAAGGAATCTGTTAATTGTTGCAACGCAAATATGATTACTGTGGGCACTATATCCCAATATATTCTTAAATGAAAATGGAGTATGAAATTACTAAGTGTGATACAAACTGTGGCTTGAAGATGTGTATAGGGTCTCATAAGGAAACTTACATAGCGCAATGTATTTCACTGGCCGCGTAGTCTACGAAATTTAGCTATTTTAGTATCTATCCTGCACAGTTCTGACAACATTTTCTGTAACCGTAAAAGAAGTAAAACGTTTTCTCTCGTTAAGTGACAAGTTTCATTTCTATTCAAACTTCTTAATTTTGTATGTTTTTGTAAAACGTTGGTTTGACGTTTCCAGATACGGAAAATGTGTACTGTAGGTAACATTTCATCGAAAACACATTGGAACCGTTTTCAACTACTTAGAGATTTGAATCTAGAAAAATCTTGAAATAATTTTTAGTCATTCTTAGTCAACCTATTAAAATAAAGAGCTAAACGATATTTCGGAGGGCAGAATGTAAAAATAATATCCCACCTTTTTAAGCAACAAGAATAAAACTATCTTATCGCTTTAAATACGCTATTAAGGAGACCTCTAATGCAAATTTTACACATTTTTACCCTCTTGGGGGTTGAACTTTAATAAATCCTGAAATGAGGTTTAAAGTATTTGTATAGGCTACCTTTTGAAGTTCAGAGAACAGCAATATCTCATCGGGTTAATGAGCTATTAAGGAATCGTTGAAACATATCTTACCCCCTTTCATCGGGAGAAATTAAAATAAAAATTCACTTCAAACTATTTGTATAGCCCACCATTTGATATCTCGTCTGCTTAAAAACTTGTTGAGAAAAATTCGAAAACATGTTTTACTTCTTTTCGCCCTCTTAGGACTTGATTTTTGAAAAATTCTTTATTAGGTGCCTTCGCCTTAACGGGAAACCAAAACTAAATTTTCATGCTTTTGCGTCCAGCGGTTTGGGCTGTGTGTTGAGGGGTGAGTCAGTCAGTCGGGACATTTCATACAGGAGAAATTACGCCCTGGATTCTAATACTTGCTTTTATCCTGGTAGATATAGGTATGCTGAACAGAACGGTAAACGAAGCTCACTTAAAAAACTTTGGATTAAAAAATAAATGACTCACGATGAAAGTGAATAAAATCGTCTTGATTTTATTTTTGGAATAAAGAAAAAAACACCCGCGTCTTCACTGCAAACCAGATTTCATTTCGACGACAAATTTGTGTTCAGGCAAGAAAATATTAAATTAAGTGGCGATAAAGTGAAGAAAGCATCATGCGCATCACTTGTTTAGGAGTTTCAGGTATTATAAAAAAACTTGGTGTGTGAGAGCGCGCCCAAAGAAGAAGGAACTTACATAGTGCGATTGAGTCAAGCTTCTAGGAAAGGGTTGGTGTTCTTCGCACGTTTCACCATCTGTTCTTTCAGGAAGTGTGGCAAATGGCCCCTACTTGCCAAGGTCAGCTCTAATATTCCATTGCTTGGAAGTAGAAACGCCATCTCAGATGGGTACTGTCACATACTTACACATAAAGTATCTTCAAGTACTAGGAAATAATTTTTCATCTGCAGGATACGCATTTATTAATAATAATAAAAGTACCATACTAACGATTCTACTAGAACAAAAATTTTCGTGGTCATTAAATATGAAGCCATTTTCATAATCATTTTTACATTACGATTTTCTCGCATGGCCAACATGCGATTCCAGATCAATAGTGCTTTCGTGACCAGAAGACAAGGGGAAGATGCGTTTATCTGAAATTATCACTACTATAGCGGCGCCACGGTTGTTGAG